CACAAAAACACACAAAACATGAAACATGCCAAATTAATTTTCATCCTAAAAAAAAAAAATCATGCAAAATTCATAATTTAGCCTTGATTATCATACTAAATATCACTTCACCGTTTTCTGCTATTGAAGCTCGGTCTTTTGGGGAATCAGAGATGGAGTGCACAAACAAATAAATAAATAAATAAATAAATAAAAACAATGGGGAATGGAGAGACACTCACACACAGACAGAGAACGACGAGACGGGAGACTGAAGAGCACAGTTGGACAAAAAGAAATGGCTTTGGAAGGGGATCAAGTGTAAAACAAATAAATAAATAAAAGGTGTGTAGGTGAAAAGAGTGGGTGAGACTAAAAACAAAGAAGGGAGAGATGAATGTTAAGCAGGGTTCCAGAGAGGAATAGATTAAAAGGATGCAATGCATGGATGAATACAGGAAGGATTGAAATTAGTGTTTTGGCTTCTTTACCCTGTTAAACAGGCGGCTGACCAGTTTAGGTGTTATCACATCTCCCTCGCAGGCTCTGTATTGACTGACTCTGGGGGAGAGAGGGAGGGGATGTAGGGGGACTGTGAAGTGATAATTGGCGATATGCTTACCTGGCGCGGAGCCTGCAACCTCCAGCAGGGCACAAAAACAAACACACACACTCGCACACACACACACACATTCTCTGCTATTGTTCTGTGCCACGACAAGCTTTACCTCAAACCGCCCACCCTCAACAAACACATCCACACATAAGAAAACACACACTCACGGGTAGCTTGGCATAAGAGTAAAACCAATCCTGAAGTCTCTCCTATGGAATACTAATACGATTGCCCTTGCCAGCTGACCTCTTATAGGCCAAACAGGCTGTCTGTCAAACTAATGGGGCGGAACGCTGGCATATTGCTTTCCCACAATCCCTCAGCAGAGCCGGGACACTCATTTACTTCAGTCAGCTTGTTGCCAAGGCAACATTTAGGATGGTTCTGGTGGTGGATGGACGCACAAACACGCACGCTGCCTCTCCTACGATTCTGTATAGGCACCTGTGTATATGTGCAAACTTGAACTCACAAACAAATGCAGCGCAACCTGTTAAGTGTTACTACCGTGAACTCTTGCGCACACAGACACACGCACGCACACACACGCATATATGAGTGTTGCTAACAGCAGTGAAACAGATGAATTTATGTATGCGGCTGACAGCACTGTCTGCATGCGGAAGGTACACTAAGTGCTCTTTGTCTCTAGTCTCATCTCCGTGCTCCAAAACTCTCTCCCTTCATTCACAATACATGCTCTCCTGTTCATTTGTTCTGAAAGCCAAGCAGACAAGCCTATTCTTCTCCGCCTGTATTTTTCTCCCCATCCAGACAAGGAGAAAGCAAAAAAAAAAAACCCAAAAAGGGCTGCAGACACACAAGGACGAGAGCCGAGAGACTTCCAGTACCAGGTTTCAAACTCCATCGCTGTTCTTGAGGATTGATTACAGATGTCATCTCATGCAATTTCAGCCTGAATTTTTTAGCTGTGCAACATTTTCTTTCGTGTTTCCCCATCGAAATGAAAAAATGCAAGTGGATGAAATTTTAATTGGGACTGTGCTCATCTATTGTGCACTGTCTTAAAACCTAAACCAATCATAAGCCGGCAGTGTCTTTGTGGCTGGCTCACATCCTGTGCAATCTGTCCCTACAGACCCAGAGCAGGATCTCTGACAGCAACTGTCTGTGTGTCTGTAACTGTGTCTCTGTTTGATCAGTAACTTGTTATTATGAAACCGGAACATCACAGCAAGTGAGGGTTTTGAATGTATGATCACATGATTTGGTTTGACAAGTGCTTAAAGCCGAATTCCAGATCTCCATTTCTATCTTAATATTTTGCTCATAGACGATTTTTACTTGAAAAGTGTTTTTTTGCTGGCTTCTGTGATTGCTCTGCATGTAACAGGAAAATTACCAACCAGGCAACCTGCGTCTGGGTTCACAAACTTCGTTTCAGGGGTTTGCTTCCTGTGATACCAATTTTCTTTACTGCTTATTGTAATAGCAGTGTGGTGGGTGACCAAGGTGCAATCTTCAGAGCTGAAAGAGGAAGCCAGTGTGCCATGCAATACAAGTTGTTCTGAATGCTCAAATAGAGTAGAAGAGTGCTATATAATTTTAAAGCTATATAATCTTGTCACTACATCACGGCTCGTCTCTCCTACATCACCTAAATCCCCTTTTAAGGTCATTTATTGTGTTGCATGCCCACTGTGTTGTCGTCACAGCTTGGTCACCATTCATACTGGCACTCCTGGACTTGCGGCAGTCTCCTCCTGAACGACAGATGTCCCCACTCAAAAAAAATCCTCTGCATCATCACTGATACAGAAGTGGAAAAAATTATAACAGGAAGCAAAGTGATACAGTGATTAAAGTCACTTTCAGTATTTGTCGCTGTTCAAAAGGGCCACAACGGTGAGCATAAAGGTGTACAGTCCAGTCGGGAAACTTCACAGGTGTGCAGTTGAAATCAGAATGAAGGCAGAATGCTGATAGATAAGGAAATAAATTCCCCCCATGGAATGAAAATGCTCTGAAAATATAGTATCAAAGCTATGAAATTACTGTTGAGTGACAACACTGTTCACGAACTGCTGACTTATGTGTTAAACTGCACTTAAAACCCCATGGCTATCCTGCTAAATGAATAAGGAAACTGTAGTTTTCATCCTTAAAGATTGTTTACAATGTCTTGAAATGCAGAAAACAGCTGCACGCTGTATCAGTGAAAGCTGATACTTCTTGGAGGCCACATGCCAGTGAAAAAACACTTTAGCGTGCCATTCATCCCAAAGGTACGCACTGACATATGGTGACCTAGAAGAAGAATCTGTGTTGGCTCTAACAATTTTAACAGCATCCATTCAGAGATTAAACTGATATATGTTCATGTCTACATGAATAAATGTTTATACAAAGATAATGGTAACTGTCTGGCTGACTAAACCTCTATCATCTTGGCTTTCTGTTCCATTTACAAAATCAATCAAAGCAGTGAAATGTTGAAATAGCAGATAAGCTCGGGAATAAATGAGCAACAGCAGCCAGTGGACATAAAAAAAAAGGTTAATTTCCTGCCCTTGAGTTTGTTGTTGATGCACTGCATCAGCTCAGCACTCCTCCAGATTGAAGTGCGAAAAACAATGTCGACAGGTGTGCGTTTGATCTAACTGAATGACATTTACCCAGGTACCCTTGAGACTGAGAGGTAAAGAACCGTAAAGACCTTTTGTTGCCTCACCTTTGATGGAAAAAACAACTCACTAAAGCTGAATGAATGAATGCATGGTTACTCAGTGCAGAGTGTGATCCTGGCAAATGTAGATGTATAGTAAATGATTTTTGTGTGTGTGTTTTTTCCCCACTTGGCCCTCCGCTTGCATCTGTCGATCCCAAGTGGCCGTCATCGCTCTCGTCTTTCTCGTCTTCTTTCTCTAAGCATCGTTTCCCTCCCTCTCTCTTGTTTGTTCCATTCTTCCTCTTGTCACTACCCTTACCTATCTCTAATTAACACCTACTCCAGGCTCTATCTGCCTTAGCAAACCCCAAAGGACAGAGCTGAAAAGGGAGATGGAGACAGAAAAATACATACAATAAGAAATGAGGGAAATCAACTGAGCAAGGGGGGGGAAATGGTGCAGAGTGGCACAGAAAGAGAGAATAGACAGATTCAGATGGTGGCTCTTAATGTTGGCTCGTTCAGCTGGTCGGTGGAAATGTTTACAATGAAAACAGCTGCTGCGGTTAAATTTAACTGAATAAAAACATTAACTAAACCACAGTGATCAACATAAACATGCTTTACATGGGCACTAATGCACCCAGTGTGACGCATTCACATGTTCGAGGGCTCTCTAGAAACCATCTGTCTTTGTAAAGCCATCAGAGACCTCAGGACAACATCAAACGACGCTGTAGATCTGGAGGTGCTTGACTGCATGTGTGTGTGTGTGTGGCAACAGGAAGAGTGTGGCATCCATTTTTGTGGCTTGAGCCTCAGCTGGTGTTTATCAGTTAAGGTGGAGCCCGTGTGTGTGTGTGTCGTGTATGTGTGCATATGGACACTCAGGACTTCAGTAGATCATTTCAGGCAAGCAGATGCACGGTTGTAAGCTGACATACGAATGCACATACACGCGAATATACAGACATGCAGGTGCACCACTTGATACTTCACCACAGAGACTGCAAAGAAAAAGGCTGCATGCAGACTAACATACAAATAGGAAGGTTAAAAACGGCAGTGTGAGCGAGCCGGGCTGAAAGGCTAAAGCTGTTTGGCCAAATGAAGACAAAGAAAACGACCACAGGCAAATGCACCAGCACCCAAATTTGCAAGCATTAACAAACACACACACACACACACAAGTTGAGTAAGGTGCGTGCGCACATGTTTTAGTGAATCTGGCTACTGCATTAGCAATACAGATTTATTGCAAGTATCGATTACCCACAGACGTCAAACATCACACACCCGCAGCAAAGCACTGAGTCAACAATACACTGAAAAATGTTTATTTCCACAGCACTCCACACCCATAAATTACGAACTATTGGCTTCACACCTGCAAACACGTAAAAAGCACAGACACACACACACAGACATAGGCACACACCCTCACGAGCTGCATGCAAAAGCACCTTGAACACCTGCCACAACAAAGAGCTACCTGCTACCTTACACAAAGAAAAATATAGACAGACACCACACATGGGGCATAAAACACTCGCAAACACGTACACCAACACACACGCACGTACGCTCGCTCTTTTTGGCTCGTAAATTGCACTGCATCATCTGATTAAAAGAAGTGCGACAATTTTAAATTATTTGGTGTCCACAGACGACCATTTGCACCACAAAGCCATGCCATTAATAACAGCTGAGGCCTGCACGTATCTTGGCAGGCACACAAACATAGACGACCAAAGGATCAGACAGGTGGTAACTTACCTCCACCTCCACCGAGCAGAGTGTTGTTGGCTAAAAGAGAGACAAGAAAAAAGAAATGATTGTGAATACAACTGAAGCGTAATTAATAAGGCTTAAACTGTCACAGCAAGCAATAATTAAAAAGTCGGAGGACACAAAACTAATTAAATTAAGCAAAAATGTCTGTAGTGTATATATGGCGAGAATGTCTTTTCAATTTATGGCTATGTATTTAGCCAGATAAACAGCTAAGTATTACACTTAGCTATTAGATTTCTACTTTAAACTGCAAATAATATTTGAGGGTTGGACTGAAATAAGAACAAGAAGATGTCTTTTAATTTTTTGGACCATACCAACCTGTGCTTGCTATTTGTTAAACTGAATAAATATCTGAACAGATCAATAACAAAAATACCCATGAGTTGCAGCCCTCATCACATCTAATATAAAATGTTACACAGGTCTCTGATGAATAGTGCAATCACGTTCTCATTACATCCAGGTGATATAAAACTCAAATTACTACAATGAGCAGATTTCATTTTTTCCCATTATGATTATTCAGTTATTTTAATTGTAAACCGATTACCCCTAAATGTCAAACTGAAGCCCAAACAAACAATACATTTGATGGCACCTCATCCAACAGGAAGTAGTTTTAACACTTGCTTTCTCTGCCTTACCTCTGCATAACTTTTCACTATGATTTAAAACACCTCATTTTGGTTTTAGAACATATTCTGTGCACAGTAGTACATTTCATGGAGACATTTCCTACTTTAGTGTCCAACTGGTCCTAATGAAAATGTACATTCACTACGCACTTCATTAGGAACAACTGATCAACTGCTCATTAATACAAATATCTAATTAGCCAATCACATGGCAGAAAATCAGTGCATTTAGGGCATGTAGATATGGTCAAGATAACCTTTTGAAGTTCAAACTGAGCATCAGAATAGGGAAGGAAGATGCAGTAGAGCATCTATTAACATCAAACCTTGAAACAGATAAGCTACA